TCACAAAGGGCACCTTCCTGCTACGGACTGCGAGTCTCTTTCCGCACAAAGGAGCCCGAGTCACGCTCCTTCCTTCTCCTGCAGGCAGCCTCTCTGCAGCCTGTTTCTTCTACCTAGATGTCCAACCCCCACCGGAGGGGACATTTACCGTTTTCTGTCACCTACGGGCTATTTCCCCCTCTTTGGGGAAATAGCAGCAATTCTCTGCTATTCTCTGAAATGGCAGCAATTCTCTGATTTCTTCTGGGGAATCTTCTCTCTGTCAGTCTACACACGCTGGCATGGTGCTGAGTCTACTCCGGTCCCTGTGCTGGCCCAAGACGAACCAATGGGATTTTTGCATAAATGGCTGGGGTGTTGTCTCTTCCCTGAAGTTGGACCTGTGGCCGCCACCGTACCAGACAATATCCTGCCTGGACATGGAGAGAAAGGCACGAAGTGGAGAAAGGCAGGTCCTCAGTGATACTAAGGCCCCTAGATCCAGCCCTACCTGAAGCCAGGCACCCTTTGTCTCTCCGTTAAATTTAGCTAATCAATGTTCTTTTTGCATAATCCATCTCGGCTGAGTTTCTGTCATCTGCAACTGAAAGAGTTCCTACGAAAACAAGAGCTCATGGCCAGAAAGTGGCAGCATCTGGACCGCAGCCCAGGATTTAACCACTCTATTAAACTGGCATCATCTCCTACTCTGACCCCAGCCAGTGCCCTGCACCAACCTCCACCCACCGGTAATCCCAACGGCTCACATTTGCTCAGGGCTTGACGGCCCAGAAACTGCTCTCACACACACGATCGCTTTTTTTTAAAAAAAGGAAACATACGTCATATACCATAAAATTCACCCTTTTAAAGAATATCATTTAGTGGTTTTTCGTGTATTCACAAGGTTGTGCAACCATGACCTCTGTCCAATCCCAGAACGTTTTCATCACCTCGGAAAGACACCCAGTACCATTGGCCGTCTCTCCCCCTTCTCCTAGATCCTGGCAACCACTGACCTGCTTCCTGTCTCTAGGAGATTGCTTCTTCTCAGCACACATCATCACTTTTAACTCCACAGGAATCCTGTGAATTCGCCACTAGAGAGGGGAGCCCTGGACACCAGACTGCCTGAGACTTAGGACTCCGGTGTCGGCTGTCCAGCTTTAAATCCAAGTTCAGATGCTCACTAGCTGTGTGACCTTGGCAAAGGACTTAACCTCTCTGAGCCTGTGTTTCTTCATCTATATCCTCATATCAAGAAAGCTTGCTATGAGGATTAAATGAATTCCTACATCTAGATGCTGAGCAGTCAGCGCTCCTGGAATGCCGGCTGTTTCTAGTATCATCTCCCCCACGCTGTAGATGAGGACGATCAGGCACAGAGGGTTAAGGGGTGTGGCCACAGCCACACAGCATAGGTGGCTGGGCCCCAAGTCTCCTGACTTTTCCCATTACACCACGCTGGCCTGGCTGTTCCTCCCAAAAGCTCGGCCCTCCCCATCCTCCTTGAGCCAAGTTACTTCTGAAAAAACCAAGGCTCTTCGCCAGACAGGAGGGAGGGGAGAGTGGGACCATGAAATCATCTAACTGGAGGGTGTCACACCCCCATGGGCTGGTCTCTATGCTGACTCTAGGTCCTGCCCTAATTTCTTCCACCTTCCCCCTCTGGGGCGTGGGGGCGGAAGGCAGGACATTTCCAGGACAGCAGGACCCTCTGGCATGTGTGACCTGCCCATCCCAGCCACCCATCAAAGACTCTCTAAAGCCGGCTGAAGCCCTGTCTGTAGACGGCTGGTTCAAGAGGACACTCTGAGGCAGCAGTTTACGTTACAGCAAACCCCCAACTATTACCAATTATTCTTAGTGGGGAAGAAAACCTCACTTTTAAGTTCTGGGAGAAATAAACAGTTGAGTCAGAGCAGGACAGCCGAGGGAGTACAGGCTTTGGGCCAGAGATCCCCATAATCCCACGCTGGCAAGTGTTCCCAAACGATGTCCCCTTGGGCAAGTCCCATCTGAGCAGAGGGACAACAGATGATAGCTCACTGAGCAAGACAGAAGTGTCACAACAGACACATGAGGGAAGTGCTTTCATTGGTAATGTGCAGATGGGGAAACTGAGGCCCAGAAACATACAGAGGTGACACCAAGCTGAGACCTCAACAGTCAAAACTGAGATTTGAACTAGGTCTGTCTAAGCCCAGAAGTCAAGGTCTGAAGCCCTGGGCTATGTTGCAATAGGGAATTCAGTGACACAGTCAACTTCCTCAGGCACTGCCACTTCCCTGTGTGCCTCCAGGGCTTCCTCCCTGTTCTCCTTGAAGCTCCTCCTCCAGCTGATGCTGTACCAATGACCTTACTTCTCTGGCCACAGCTGACAGGCTCAGGGTTGCCTCTGACCCAGGACCCTGGAGACTGGCATTAGCACCCAGAAACCCCAGTGTGTTGACAACAGGGAAGGACTCACCAACCAGGGATGGAAGGTGCTGTTTGGGGAGTATAGGCTAACAGGCGAACAGAGGAAGCCGGTCTGCAGAGGCTGCTGGGAAAAGGACACAGGCTCGATGGGAGAGCCTATGGCCACAGTGACACTGGACAGGGAGCTGCCGAGCCTACGGACAGGCGTTCTGTCACTGGCTCTGAGGCCCTGCAAGGCCGGCCGCATTTCTTGCTCTGAGTGCCATGGGGCCCACGTGCCTCCTCCCACCTCGTCGGCCCCCATACCTCCCCCTCCTAAGCTAGCTGAGTGGGTGTTTGCTCTGTGAGTGTCCATAACCCCTAGGAGAGCAATCATGCCTGTCACCGTTCTCCGCCCCCTGCGTCCGTTCTTAGAGGTGTCACGTAGGCAGAAAGCCTCTGAAAGCAAAATCCAGGTAGCCCTCCCTGTGCAGACTCTCAATGCATGAAAAATCAGTCCAGCGAGTTGCAAAATGTTTATCCGACATTCTTTCTCTGGACTGAAGACCGGCTGCTGTGGATGTGTATAGACATCCGTCTGTCTGGGTAAGAAGGCGCGGATCTTCCTCATTCTCATACAGGACCACGTTTCCTGCTCTCCTTTCCCCCCAGGGTTCAGCCCTTCCCTCTGTGTCTGCTTCTGCCAAGTCCACTTTAGATAGTATCTTAGCATCTTTAACATACAGCCTCTTTGTTTATTTACATTCAGTACATGTCTGCTGCAGACCAGAAGAAAAACATAATTTGTATGTGCTCCTGTTTGATTTTGTTACATAGTGAACGCAAAACATCACTGAGTTCATCACATTTTAAATGCTTAGGTAACTGCTGTCTCGATTGCTTTTGATTGCTTTTCATTACGCATTGGCTCCTGGCAGTTGTTACAAAGGCGTTGGAGATTGTTTTAGTGATATCAGGGAAACCGATCAGGAGCACAACCTTATCTCCCCTCTCCTCCCTCTTTAAAATAATGGAATGCAGGCTCTGAAAATACTCTCCAACATTTTCAGGAACAATTAAGCCTGTACAACCAATACCACCCAACCAGGGAACACGCGTGAAGAAACAGGCTGGTATGCAGAAGATAAGGGCTATCTTTCACCGGTCCAGCAATGCCTATTTTATAACTGATCACGGCTGTTCCCTCCAGGTCTCCATCCCCACCCCAACTCCGGGGGTGCAGTAGGGACCCAGATAAGCCCACCGGCTGTCACATTCCTCAACCATCTTGATGGGCTTAGAGGTGAGCCTATGAAACACAACACCGAGTTTGCTGGAACATCTGGGAAATGACCTTTCACTCTTTAAACCCGGAGCATTTTGCAACCATGTGGGATCTGAGGATAAAGCCAATGCCATGGAAGCAGGAATACAGAATAGGAGGAAGGAGCTGGTTGGAAGGACACGGTGGGAAATCCTGGATCAAGCCGTCCCTGAAGCCCAGAAGGTTTCTTCTCCTAGGACATTCGGTCACACCAGCCAAAAAATTCCCATTTGCGTAAGCCAGTTTGAGTTGGGTTTTTGTCACCACAGCTGGAACATCCTAACTGCCACATAGAAGAAAGGAAGATAGTTCAGGATGGAGGCCCCTGTTGGCCTATGAGGTGGCGTGAGTCCCTTACTGCTTGGCAGGGAGGGCCTGTGGGTTCAGGAACGTGAGTAAGTTCCCATCTCCTCCTAAGGACTGTGTTTTCTAAAGAACTTTATTATGTCATATCGGGCACTCTGACTTCTCATACAGACACACTTGTTTTGAGTTGCTGGCCTTTGGTGACATCAAGGTAAAGCTACTGCCCCACAGAGTAGAGTTCTTTTACCCCAGTGTGCGTGAGCTATCATCCACTTTGTCTGGCATCCTATGAGGCTGGTGGTGCACATGGTGGTTTTAAATTCATTCATTCATTCATTTATTCGCCAAACATGATTGAACAAATCTGTGTCCTTGAATAAACCATTAAGGAGAGAGAGGATGACGAAGATGTGGTCCCGTTCCCAAGAGTCCCAGTCTAGAGAGGAAGACAGACAAGCAGACGACTTCAATGCAGAGTCAGGACAGAGGGACACACAGAGCTGTTGGGTGCAGAAGAGGTAGCCCTCATGGCTGGGGAACAGAGTCGTCCTAAAGGATGAGAGCCCCGGAAGGCAGAGGGAGTTACCTGAGCCAATGAGTGGGTTAGGAGGGCACGGGAGCGTGTTCTGGGAGAGGAAGGACAGATGCAAAGTCCTAGTAGGAGGGAGCATGGAGCCCTCGGCTACTGGGGCAGGCATCTCAGGAGCCAGGCATGGAGAGCAAGGTGAGGTGAGGCGAGGGAGGTGGGTCTGTCTGCAGAGCTGAACGGCCCCAAGAGTTCTGAACACACTCAACGAACCGAGCTCGCCAGCAAACACGACTACTGCTCACAGCACAAGTCCAAAGCCATACACATTTCCAGATCACCCTCCACTCTGGAGCAGTCAAAAGTGGCCCCTCTTTTATTTAGAAAATATTGACTATCATAGCATAAAGCAATAAAGCACATGACTTACATCCCAAAAGTGATGGACTTGCTTTGTTTTTTTAAAAAAGCACAGAACGCTCCATAAACTTGCATGTCACCCTCGCACAGGAGCCATGCTAACCTTCTCTGTATCGTTCTAATTCTAGTATATGTGATGCTGAAGTGAGCACATGGATGTCATTTTTAATTCCAGGAAATAAAAAAGAACACCTGTGTCCAACTGTGGGTGAGGGTCTGGCATCTAAAGTCAAAATGGAAAGTAAGTCCAATTAAACTCCTTCCCACCCCGAAGCTCACTGGAGGCCCCAAGTCCTTACCTGGAGGTCAAAGAATTTGCTGTAGCGCCGATAGATGGCCTCAGTGGAGCCACTGGACCATGTGACCCGGATGATGTAGACCTGCAGAGAGGGACAGAGGAGACAGGAGTTAATACCAAGGGGGCCCCTATATCCTCGGGAACAAAACACAAGGTTCGGAGTCAGAAAGATGCGGGTTTGAATCTCAGCTCTGCCACTGCCTGGCCGCATGACTCGGGACAGGTTACTTGCTCTCTCTGAGCCTCAGCTTCTTCCTCACCTCTGAGAACTGTGCAAAGGGTTCAACGAGATCCAGTATGGGGAAGTGTGACCACCCCGCTGCTCGTCTCCGGCGGCACCGACAATTAAAAAAAAATAGATGTGAAAGCTCTTTGGAAACAGAGAAATGTTATATAAACACTAGGAGCTCACGGGGCACACAGGCAGGGCCCCCTGCCCTCTGCGAGCTGAGGGTCAGCTCAAGAGACAACACATACATGAATGAAGATAAATAACACATGGACATCTCCTATTTTTTGCCCAGTATTGATAAACTATTCTTCTAACCACAGCACCTTGATCTTGCTCCTAGGAACCCCCTTCCCCACCTCAACACGGTCCCTTGGATACAGAGGTGGGTACTATTCATTACCCATAGTGACTGTTTGAAAAGGGAGCACATGACCTAAGCCAGGCCAATCAGAGCCGGTAAGAGTCAGCCCTGGGACTTCTGCTCCATCTATCCAGAAAGAGACCCAGAAAACAACATATCAAAGGTCCCCATCAGTGGGGGATGTTCAAACAAACTCTGGATGACCATCTGTCAAGAACAATGCCAACGTGAATTCAAAAACAGGGGAAAAAAAGAAAAGGGCATTAAAGATCTTATTTTTTCTTAAAACCAACAAATGGAAAAAAAAAAATTCTG